AGTCTTATTGCCCCAGTTCACCCTCATGTCTGAGAGTTTACAAAAGAGGTCCATCATATATTGGACACCAGCCATCGCCTCTCTCGACGCGTCCAGCATAAGAGTCAGGTCGTCAGCAAAGAGGGAGCACACCGGGATCGCGTCTCGTGGTATTGAGGATACCTGAATTCTCTTAATATCTTTATGTGTTCTCAGGTTTGCCGCCAGGGCCTCCATCACTATAACAAAAAGATAAGGGGCTATTGGGTCCCCTTGTCTGACTGACCTTTGAAGGTCGATGGGTGGAGCTAGGTTACCGTTGACCATTACCCTGGTTGTTGCATTCTCGTGTAGGATCCTCACCCATCGCCTAAAGTCTGGTCCAAAGTTGAGTTTTTCTAGGCATTTCTCTAGGAACAACCAGTCGACGTGGTCGTATGCCTTTTCGAAATCAATGACGATGATTGCTGCGTTGTGTTTCGATTGCCTGGCCAGTTTGATCATTTCATTAACCAGGAGTATGTTGTCTTGGATGTTCCTGTCCTGAATGAAACCAGTCTGGTCCGGATGTACGATCGTCGTCATAATCGGGACCATCCGGTTAGCCAGGGCTTTCGCCACCAGTTTGTAAACGACAGTAAGCAGTGTAATAGGCCTGTAATTTCTGATGTTGTTCCTGTCACCTTTTTTTGTAGAGGAGGGTCAGCACTCCTTGGCCCACTATTTCCCTTGTCTGGCCAGTTTCCCGGACGTCGTGGTAAAAGTCCATAAGGTCTTGGGAAATGTCCGGCCACATAACTTCCCAGAATTCCTTGGGCAGACCGTCTATGCCGGGAGTTTTTTCTTCCTCCATTTGCATCAGTGCATTTCTTATCTCTTCCTTAGTCAGGGGTCTGTCCAAGGTTTCTCTTTGTTGATCTGTTAGGGTTTTATTAAGTGGTTGCAGGAAGGCCTCAATCTCCTCCGTGCGCTGTCCAGTGGGTTGGTCACGGCATTCTGATGTGAATAAGGTACGGTAGAAATCTCTTGCGATCTTTGTGCAGGCTGCTGTTGAGGTGTGCAGGAGACCTCGGCTGCCGTTGGGGTCTTCTAGGGCTTCTATAACAGATCTGCCTGTCCTTGCTCCTGCCATGGCAAAAAATTTTGCTTCCATTGCACCTTCGATGTTGTGCCTGGTGAGCTTCCCACGAATTCTGGCCCCCTGCCATCGGTGTTCCATATGGGAGAGGAGGCGGGTTTCCAGGTTTTGGATTGCTGAAGACAGTGCTACAACTTTGTGTCTTTGTAATGGCATCAGGCTAACGGCCCGACAACTCTTGAAAATCAATAGTCCCTCCTCAAGGGTTCGCACGAGTTGAGGCTGGGGTTTCCAATCTGTCAAGAGCCGCGGCTCTTGAAAGGGGGTTTCAAGAGGTTGCCTCTCTGACTGTTCTTTACTACCCCAAGTCTTAAGAGGCTGTGTGGGGATGCAGCAACGCTTGAAAAGGAGTTTTCAAGAGTGGTGTGGTGAGGCCCCGAGTGTACCTACTACAGTCTTCCCCCAAGACAACATAGGGTCATTATAGCTGATTTGGGGTATCTTTCAGTCTAAATACAGCTATAATGACCGTACGGTGTATTCGGGGGAACAAGGTAGCCAAGCTTGCTGTAGGGCGAGTAGTGCAACCAGGCCCTGTGCCCTCATTCCTCCAACAGAGAAAATCTGCCTTGGTAAAACATACATATTAATTAATAATTAATGAGATCTCCTTTACTGCCTGGCTGCCAGCCTGTCTTGCGTCCTCAGAAATGGCGCGACGTTGAACCAAAGCTGCGTGTGCTTTTTGAGCCAAGCCGTGTGCTTTTTGGCGCCACACTAGTCTCTTTTGTTTTTTCCGGCGGCAATTGTATTTTGCCGCCTTTGTGGGCTCGCGTTTCCCGCCAGCACCTCTGCTGCTTCGCCGATGTCTGAGGTCCCTAACCATTTTTTTTTTTTTTTTTTTTTTTTGTCATGTGGACCATTTCTCTTTTTGAAACGTGTCATCCTTGATTGCGCAGGGGCCATGCTAATCTTCTCTTTCTCTGTACCGTTCCGACTTTAACGGATATGTCCCGAAGGACGCTTCTGCCGCTAACGCCCCCCGCTGATTCGCAGTTTGAGTGCCAGCGGCGCGGGTATAAAATGGCAATTTTCAAAGTGGCCACTTGTTCTGCGACCTACCCTGGCCGTAATTATGGTCAGATTCATCCAAGGTAGTTTGAATCGAGACAGCACGCAGCGAGCGACCCCGCAGCTGCGAAAAACTGGCCCTGGCGCCACCGCTCGTCCATTGTCATTAGTTCAGAACATCGATCGCGCTTTCACAGTTCCACCCTCCAGGGGCAAGGTCCCACTTGCGCAAATTAGCAGGGAGATTTCGGCCGTTGATCTTTGCTATCTAGTCAGTATCTCTTAGTTCGTGCGAGTGGGACCTAGCCCCAGCTGAAGCTAAACAGCTCCACCGCTCCGCTCGTCAAATTCGAAAAGACAAAAGCATGGCCTGTGTATCCTTCCTAGTTCTAGGAGAAGGTACGTTCTGCATTTCACACAATCCACTGTGAGTTTTGCGCCGAGGCCCACACTCGCCCCTTCACCACTCTTGATGATCTCAGTTTGCGAGTAGCGCAGCGAGCCCTCTCAGCCCGTACTTACGGCCATCCTCCCCTAAGGGCATACACTAGTGGGTTTTTTGGCTAAATCGCAAAAGCCGCTATGGGTTTTCCGACCACCGAAGTTGCAAACCGGGTAGCATTTGTCAGCGGCCTGGGGGGCGGCGGGGATGGGCATTTTGCTACCACCTCGAGAGGTGGTGGCAAATTCTCTTTTGGCCGTCGCAAATTCTCTTTCGCCTTTCGAAGAAAATTTCGGCGCTTTGTGACCATGAGAGGCACCAATTTTGCAATTGCCAGAGAAAATCCCGCTCGTGTCCTTTCTGATTTGCAACCCATGTGTGACCGGGCGGGGTATTATTATTATTTTTAATTTTAATTTTAATTTTTTGCTTTTTTTGCGGGGTATTATTTCTGCAAACATGGGAAAGAAAATTCAGCAGATTTTGCTAGACTGCCACCGCTGTGTGAGTACGCCCTCAGTAGTAAGGTAGTTAGTTATGCCTGCCTGGTTCGATCACATGGTAGTCTCAGTAGTGTCAGTGGTGTCATTATGCTCTAACGCGCAGCCTTGCGGAGACTCGCGGAGAGTGGCCGGCAGAATGAGACGTCTCAGCTCAAAATTTGGCGCTTGGAGAAGGCAAGCGAAGTCGTGGTGTGCGGACGGAAGGAAGGCAGCTGAGAGGATACGTGCACACGGCGTCGACCTCGTTCTCAGGGAGCTTGGATCGGGGGCTGCTGAGGAGTCACAGGTGGGTGAGAATTGCAGCGGAAGTGTGATGGGGATGATGATGATGATGATGATGATGATGATGAGGAGGAGGAGGAGGAGTACGGAAGTGGAGGAGGAGTAGAACCTCTGAGGTCCACTAACAGGAAGAGGAACGCAGGAGAAAAGTTGACAGCCACGAGGTGGACATGAGTTCACGGGGAGACGCCTCCATGGGAGCTATTCCGCGAAGGCGGAGGGTGGAATCAGGCGTATAAAAGGGGTCAGCGGAAGAAGCAATTGACCGGAAGGGAAACAGGAGCAGAAGAGGAGCGAGAAGAATGGTGGACAGGACATGCCTATGAGGGGACAGACGAAATCGGATAACATCGGACCGGATCGGATCGGATCGGATCGGATCGGATCGGATCGGGTCGGATTCCATTTCAGATTCAATCTAACTTTCAGACAAGTAATATTCAGGGGGAGTGTGGCTACACAAGATATATCGATGGAGTTCTGAATGGAAACATCGGAGAGGGGAACTAATTAGTGAATAGGCTTGAATAAGAAATGACCATTCTCTACTCACAATATGAAGTCGTCGCTCGCTTCATGTTTCTGCACTACAAGGATATACCTGCAAATTAGGAGTATGCAGAGATTGAAGATTTTACTATAGTCCCCGCACATCCTTAGGATAGCACTCTAGCTCATCCCCCCGACTAGATAACGCCCACAGATCGACGAACAATTGCTGTCGCCCTCCTTTGCGATTTTCTTTTGCTTCGTGTTTCTGTCTTTTGAGGCGATCCTTCTTTTGCGATTTTCTTGGTTTCCCTCCTTTGTTGATGGTCGATCTGTACATTCGCACCCTTACTTTTTTTTTTTTTTTTTTCTGTGTTTTGCGGCCAACCCGGACTTGAAGTGTGTTTTCTTTTCCATTTGTTTTCTTTTCCTATTTTGCCGCCAGGAAATTGATCAGATCTGCAACGTGTGGAGGCTCTTGAGAGGAGGGCAATACAAAGCACAAAGGAAATGCACTCGCGGAGTCGAAGAGACCAAGTCCCGAAGCGCGCCATTCGCCAATGGCGTGAAGAGCAGAGCGTCGTCACCGTGCAGAAGCGCGCCATTTTGCAACGCTAGAAAAAGTGCCCTCATGATCTCTGAAGCGCACGCAGAGCGTCGTCACCGTGCAGAAGCGCGCCATTTTCCAACGCTAGAAAAAGTGCCCTCATGATCTCTGAAGCGCACGTCCTGGTCTTCTTAGACACTACCTCGAGGCTTCCCGGTGACTTCACCGGGACTTGCCTTCCCCTGCCTTCCGCTTTTTCTCTCTCTTTGCCCGTCTACCCGTCCATCAGTTATGCCTGTTTTCGTTTTCTGTCCCCTTTTTCTCTCGTACTGTGTGCCCCTCTTTCCTTGCGTAGTAACAGCATAGAAGGAATCCTGATGTTTCCGTCGCCTCTAATTCCTCTCAAAATGGTTTGTCGTTGGCAAGTCACGATTACGACCGTTCTATAAACACCTTAGGCTACTAATTTTCCTCCTTTCCATACACTCTTTTCTCTCTTTCTCTCTATGCCCATCTTTTACTTCCTTCTTTTCCCCGCCCCTTCCTTGGGTCTTCCGTCCTCTTTTTTCTGTGCTTTACTGGGAGCGGTGGTTGGCGGAGGAGGTGTTGGGGAGAGGGGAGGGGGGAAGGGGGCGGGAAGAGGAGGGGGAGGGGAGCGTTAATCGTTCGGTAATCATGGGAACAGAAGATTTCGGAAATCAGTGCCTTTCTGCGAAAGATATGGACGACTTCTTGTCCACATTCATTTACCATTATCAGGACACGTCAGCGGAGTCTGGCGGTACACGTGTCGGCTTTGCCCCCGTCGGCGGGGAGGTGGTGCTTAATTCTCGTTACGTAATGCGCGCTCCACGTGTTTCCAAGGCGCCGGAGATTTTTTGCGCGGCCCCTCTCGATGGTAAGTACTTTTGTCTCCTTTGCGAGGGCCTGATGCTGGACGCTACCTTGTTGACCCCTTGCGGCCATTATTTCTGTGCTAGCTGTTTATCGCCGGAGTTCTTTTCTAAGAGGGGTGCCAACCCCAAGTGTCCCCATTGTCATCGGCATGTCGACTGCCGAAAAGCGGGAACCCACCCGCTGCCGGCGCGTGACTTGCGCGAAGCGCTGTCGAAACTGAGAGTGTATTGCCCCTTCTCGCTGACGTACGATGTTTGTTCGGGTCGTTTCGTTCGAGCGACCGTTTCGCCGACCGGTCGCAGCAGAACTTGCGATCTGCAACAGCAGCAGGAGCAACAGCTTGAAGGGGATTTGAAAAGAAGACGGTTTTGCGCAGAATCTATGGCCCTTAAGGACCTCAAGAGCCATGCTAGCAGCTGCGTGTACCGTCCGATTCCCTGTCCTTTTCGGACCGACGGATGCCGAGAGATCGTCGTCTCTCGCTACCTCAAGCGTCATCGGAGATCTTGCAGGTTTAATGTGAATACCGAGTTATGTGAAAAGTGTGGGTTCCGTATAGGCATGGATGACAGTATGGCCAGCCATCGAGAGAACAAGTGTTGTCCGCCTTGTCCGTACGCTGAGTACGGCTGTACGGAGAGGATGCGACATGCTGACCTGGATGACCATCTAGCCACGTGTCCGTTCGGTCAAAAGGATGTCCAAGACGTAATCCGTCGCCCACCTGCTCCGCTGCCTCCGCCGCCGAATTCGACGAAGGAGGGGGACACGTGTGGAAGTAAACTCGGGACAGCAATCAAAAGTTATTTGTGCGGCTGCTTTGCTGGCGGCCAACCTCCATCAACCGCGAAAACTAATTTTTGACTGCTTATTATTCTGTTTTTTTTCCTTTTTTTTTCTTATTGTTCTTTTCGTTTAGTACGTTTTCTCACATTTTCTTGCTCCAACCGATGGTTTTAAGCGAGAGACAGCGGAAGGTGTAATGATGATCCTACGCTGATGACCTCTGAAGCTGCCAGGCGGTGAATCACATTCCGCATATATCAACGAGTGAAGTGACGGAACCTGCTCGTTGAACGCGTACATGGTCGCCGAAGAGAGCCAAAAAAGGAGCACTAGGCTGATTGATTAAACTCCCTCTCTCTCTCTCTCTCTCTCTCTCTCTCTCTCTCTCTCTCTCTCTCTCTCTCTCTCTCTCTCTCTCTCTCAGGACGATTGCAAGTGTTTCTCTGTGTGTGTGTGTGTGTGTGTGTGCGCCATATCTCCTTCCTCTGCTCTTCTTAGTAATTGGAGACAGTTACTTTTCTCTCTTTTGGGTTCGCTTTTCTTGTTTTTCTGTTTGCGGAGGAGCTCGAGTAAGTTGCTTCAACGCATCTCTCTCTCTCTCTCTCTCTCTCTCTCTCTGTGTCACCATATCTCCTTCCTCTGCTCTTCTTACTAATTGGAGAGAGTTACTTTTCTCTTTTTTAGGTTCTGTTTTTTTTTTTTTTTTTTTTTTTTTTGCGGAGTAGCTTGACAAGGTTGCTTCAACGCACCATGTATAGGTACACATTCTGACGTAGAACAGAATCTTACGGCTATTTTAAGTCGGGATAAACTCCCTTTGCTAGCTGATAGACTTATTTTCGAGGCCTTTTCAACCCATACCCTCACACGAAATTTACCACTTGCTACTGTAAGGCTTTAGAGTCCGTCCTTCGTTCTCAGATCGCCTGGCGTAGGGGAGAAGTCATGAGGTTGGGCGCCGCGCTCCGTATTCTCGTATGTCAGCAATCTTTTCCGCCGCCTTTGCGTTCTTGTTTTTCCACCTCGCTGATGTTCTGACTCTCAGTTTCGACAGTCACCAAGGGCAAGGGAGGACATACTCATACCAGCACGTTGGGAATGACTCTGGGCGTAATTACGGTCAGATTCGGGCAGGAAATTGCAGCATGTGAAGGAGAAACGAGAGGCGTCACCTAGGGCAAGGGAGGACATACTCATACCAGCACATCGGGAATGACTCTGGACGTAATTACGGTCAGATTCGGGCAGGAAATTGCAGCATGTGAAGGAGAAAGGCGTGGCGACTGGAGGGAGCTGCGAAGACGGCACGGATTTGTGAAGAGCAAGAAGCAGAGTGTAGGAAGGCATGAACTTAGGGGGGCCCAAGCCGATTGCCCCTACCGGTAGCGTCTGCTCGTTCGTCGATCCCTTCCGGCCTGGACGACTGGAGTGCGAGTGTGGAGGTAAGTAGAGTTACTTAGTGCCGGCCGGGTTATGTCACATACTAGGCTATCAAGACACGATAGAATCACTAAATGCTAACTACGGTAGTGTAAATATACTCCAAAACTGCAGTGGAAAATCAGCCACAAGGTGTCGTAAAACCCACCGGGAGAAGGGTGGTTCGGGCTGGTCATATAAGCCAAAGGGGACAAGACTGCTCGCATAGAAGTAGTCACAGCGAGGAGGAGGAGGAGGAGGAGGAGGAGGAGGAGGAGCAATAAAGCTCACAGGGAAAGGAGTTCGGTATCAGGACACATTCGCCGGGAGAAGGGTTGTCTGGGTTCGACATAGCCGAAGGGCGATGGGGGATGAAGACTCCACGTGGTAAAGTACTGACAGGGGGAAGGACCTGGATGAAGATTTTCCTTCGGGAATTTTTTTAATATTGGAACGATACAGAGACTGAAGATTAGCATGGCCCCTGCGTTTCAAGGATGACACGCATAAATCGAGAAATGGTCCAAATTGACAGCGGAGGGACGTGGAGGAGGAATGAGGAGAAGGAAGAGGAGGAGGAAGAGGAGGAAAGAGGAGGAGGAAGAGGAGGAAAGAGGAGGAGGAAAGAGGAGGAAAGATGAGGAGGAAGAGGTGGAGGAAAGAGGAGGAAGAGGAGGACGAAGAGGAGGAGGAAAGAGGAGGAAAGAGGAGGAAGAGGAGGAGGAAGAGGAGGAAGAGGAGGAGGAAAGAGGAGGAAGGGGAGCAGCGGCTGTAACATCCATCAAGAGGAGAAGGTCGCAATCCCTCGAGTTTTCGTGGTAAGAAGTGCACGTGGAAGAGTTCACTTCCGAGTCTAGAGGGGAGGCATCCCAACGGAGTGCAGTTCGACGGGGGCAGTTCGACGGGGGCTAAGGGCGAGATCGCACTGGCAAAAACGATTGGAATAAGTGTCCGAATCTGTACGTGTTTGTGGAGAGGTGCAAAAAAATGTAAAATTGATCTGCTTTTCTGCACCTCTTAATGGAACACGTCCTGATTCAGAGATTTATTCCAATCCTCGTTGCCAGTGGGATCTGGCCACCGGAGAACGGTTCGAAGGGAGTAAGGGATCATCCTCTAGTCATAGAAGGGAATTATAGGAAGGAAAGAGTAGCAAGAATGTGGAGAGGAGAGGTAAAAGAGAGCGTAGTGTAGTAGAGGAGGTGGCTTGAAGTCCATCCAGGAAACTGGCAATTGTTTTTTTTTTTTTTTTCTTTTTTTTCCCTTAAACTGATCGTTCAGATCTCATTGCTTATTAAAAACTGGCTATTGTTTCAAGGCGCTAGCGGCAGAAGATCTCCGTGAAGAAAGTTTCACCGGAATAAAAGTGGGCGGATTCTTCAGATTCTGGTCCCACTTGGGCGGATCTCGCCCTTATAAAAGTGGGACCTGATATATAATAAGTAGGATCGAGGTCCCACTAGGGCGGATTCATTTGTTTGTGGTCGTTGACCTTCAGGCTTCAGATTCTGGAACGAGGAATTCGGAGTTGTGAATCGGATTGAGGTCGCACTTGGGCGGATTCTTTGGTTGTAGTCCTGTAGGAGGAGGGATTCGTCGCAGAGAGGGGGGGAACTATGTGCGTGGAGGGGGAAGAGGAGGAGGAGGATCCTTCAACAGTTCACAATGTGCACTTGTGGAGTGAATCTGGACCTATCTAAGTTCAGATGCAACCCATTGAGTGCAAGGTTAAATATGTGACGTAGTCTGGAACAAGGGATTCGGGTAAGTGGGGGGTTAAAATAGTCCTATAGGAGGGGGGGAGGGAAGGGATTCGTAGAAGAGAGGGGGAGAAACTATGTGGGTGAAGGGGGAAGAGGAGAAGGATGTTTCACCAATAAGAGGCCATGTTCACAAATTCGCGATGTGCTAATGTCGAGCGAATCTGGCCGTATCTAAGCTCAGATGCAGCCCATTGAGTGCAAGGTTAAATATGTGCCGTATGTTAATCAAACGGTGGGGGGAGAAAGTGGGGTCGTTTTGTTCAGACCCTTTCCGGTGGCCGCATTGTGCAGGGATCCCGGCTGCTGATCCGCGGCCCGTAGGTACTGATCTGGTAGGTATGTTGTGTAGCACAGGGAATCCCAGCGGCATTCTTTTTTTGTTCTCATATTCTTTTTATCTTGACCCCCTTTTTTTTTTTTTTTTTTTTTTCCCGAAACCATTCTTTTTCTGGTGATTGAATTCTCGATAAAAAGGCTTGGGATAGAAATTCTTCTGATGCCTCTGTCACAGTGAACCGGGACGGAAGGATAGCGGGGCGCTTGTGCGTGATCTGCACCGGGGCGTAAAGGCGTCCAGGTGTGGTAGTTAGCCATTGCAAATGCTTTTGACAGTCAGAAAATAGTTTTGTACTACCGATGGAGCGATCTGCGCCGTCGTATTTTATATTTAATGCTAATGCAGGGGTTCACATGAATGCCCTCTTTTTTCTTAATTTTTTTTTTAACCTGAGCCGTCGTACCGACTCGTATGTTAGTGTCATTCAGATCCTTTCATTTCACACGAGTTGAGCCGATAGTCAAGACTCACGGCATACTCACACTCGCGTTTCCGAAATGAATCTGACTGCAATCACGGCCAGAAGTGGATGAATCTGACGGCTATCCGTCCAGAGCTTTATCGAGAAAGTCCTGGTGTGGTTACAGCCTCAATGAACTAATAATGGCCGAACAGTTTTGATATTCCTTGATATTACATTAAAAGTTAAAACAATCAATTTTTCACACGTCATTGTGACTTCAACGATTGCATCGCATTTGCATTCGCCACGTAAGATTAACTTCGTCATCCCGTTCTCTTTTTCTCCACACATGCTGTACAATCTCACTGGCAGTTTATACACTCCCATTATCCTATATATGAGAGAGAGAGAGAGAGAGAGAGAGGGGGGGGGGGGGGGGGGGGGGGGGGGGGGGGGGGAAGGGAATTTGTTTGTTATACTTTAGTATCTCAGGTTTCTTAGCTCGAGGTTTTGAAGCCCTTGGATCCCTCGATATCTCAAGGTCATTTAAGAAGGGTTTTCGGCTTAATTCTTATTGCTGATTAACCATGTAGTATTACCTGCCGGAAGTCACATATGCAGGGCAGTGGTACAATAGTTAACCAGTGGTAAAATAGTTAAACCAGTGGTACAATAGTTGACCAGTGGTAAAATAGTTAAACCAGTGGTCCAATAGTTAACCAGTGGTACAATAGTTACCCAGTGGTAAAATAGTTAAGCAGTGGTAAAACAGTTAACCAGTGGTAAAATAGTTAACCAGTGCGAAAATAGTTAACCAGTGGTAAAATAGTTAACCAGCGGCTTTGTCAGAGTGTCCCAAAGGTACGAACGACCGGAGGCCTGTGAATATATATATATGGGAAGGTTGCGCTCTGAGCAGTCGGACTGGACAAAAGTGGAATAAGTGAGGTCCTTGTATGTATATAATATATACACATCTAGATGGAAATAAGGGGGTGACTTGTCACGTCTCCCGAGCACGAAACGGTGGGTAAGCTCTATGATGATGGCGCGCAATTCATCACCTGTCGTGATTAATTAGCTGTGGATTGTCGGATTGTGGTTAATAAGCGCAGTCCGTGATTAGGTAGTGAGAGATACATTGAGGAGAGTGGTAGTGTGAGTACGCACGCCCTCAGAGGAGACCTCCGAGATACATTGAGGAGAGTGGTAGTGTGAGTATGCACGCCCTTAGTGGAGACTCTCAGAGATACATTCAGGAGAGTGGTGTGTGAGTACGCACGCCGTCATTGGAGACCTCAGAAAGTAAGCCAATGCGAGAGCTTGCGGTGGCACAAGACGCAGTCGGACGAGAAAGAAGGGGGGGGAAATGGGAAGAAGAGCCCCCTTGGAAATGACCTAAGGCTCATGGCTTTTTTTTTTTTTTTTTTTTTTTGCGGAACAAGACAGTTTTCTGTATTCTTCTTCTCTTCTGGGATGCACCTGGTCAGCCTTTAGAAGCAGGTTCGTGTTGGCTCGTTTTTTTTTAAGTGGAAAATGCGTAATGCTCAGGTGGCTCAAGACGGACTCGGACGAGAAAGAAGGGGAGTAAAACGGGAAGAAGAGACTACTTGGAAAATACCTAAGGCTCATTACTTTTTTTTTTTTTCTTTTTTTTTTTGCGGAACAAGACATTGTTCTCTATTCTTCTTCTCTTTTGAGATGCACCTGGTCAGCCTTTTGAAGCAGATTTGTGTTAGCTCCTTGTTGCGCAGATGCTGTGTGGAGGGATGTGCTCTCCTTAGCGATTGAAAGAAGGCTAGTCCAGGGGCTTGGTTTGTTTTAAGGAGGATCATTGTTTTTTGCTCCTCCTCCTTCTCCCCCCCCCCTCTTCCCTCGCTTGTAATCCGAGGTGGGGCGTAAAATGCCCCTTTAAGGTATTTAATTTGAAACTTAATTCCAGATTAGAGTCGGTGCTTGGATCGTCTCGAAAAGG